TTTGAATAAAAAATACTGACACACATGTCTTTTGCATTTTTCCATTTGTACCCTCACAATTAAGGCCAACACCAACCCCCCTTTCTTGTCGTCTGCAAAATGGAAAAGCAAAGATAGATCACTGTGAAAACTCCTCCACTCCACGACGATGCCGACACCGTTGCTCTACTGGAGGATGCCACCGACACCGCGCTTGCACTGGACGAAGCTGCAAAAATTAACTGTTGTCCGGTGGCCGCAATATCTACAATTTTTCCTGGTCTGACTGTGATAAATCATTCCGGACGTTGAGATAATTTTCTGCAACAACCCGATCGCCCCACCCTACTTCGACGACAGCAGCGGCCGGTTGATGTAGCCCCTGCCAACAGCTTCAACCCCGAAGATGCGTTGACAACATTCGCCTTCTTCGGCCATCGATTGAAGCAACTCCACAGTCACAGTCGACGCCCACAGTCATATTCGACGCCCACAGTCACAATCTGCGCTCCCAGTTTCTCCGGCACACACACGGTCAGGTGTTGGAAAAAAACTGCTCACCCACAGTGAACAACCATGGACCCCGTCACGTCCCCGGTACGGTACTTGAACTCGAACCTTTTGTTAATTTTTCTGATCACCATAGAATGCCATGATCGTTGATTCTGCTGATGGAAAGTAACAATTTTTCCTCCCATTTTGCAGCAGCCAAATTTTGGTTCACACCCACACCCGAACTCTTCCACATCACATGGCCATCTTGTTGACAGTGAATCGAGGCCTCATAAGCATGCACAATGGACTGACTATAAGATGCAAATTTTTGTCGCCTCCTGTGAGACCATAATCGCTGATGGACACCGAAATGGGAAGTGCTTCACCAAATTCAGATGGCAGACATTGGTTCACTTATTCAACACCAACTCCGGCCACAATTGGAGCAAGCAGCAGCTAAAAAATCGATGGGATGCACTCTGCTTGAAACACAAGAGATTCGAAGAATAGATCAACAGCAATGGCGTTGCATACGACACGTCCACTGGCTTGATCAGCGCCTCGACCGAGTGGTGGGATTGAAAGACGAAGGTACCGTCATAAACTCATCAGTACTATGTTTCAGAACATATTCAATATTTGATATCCGAAATTGGAAAGGCCTGAGTTATTCCAGAACCGACTGTCTTTATAGTATAGGGAGGAATATGTTATACAGGCATGTGACAAATGTTTGAAAATTCTGTTGTTTGTGTTGAATGTCCAAAGTAAACAAACTACTGATTAACGGAACAGGATATGTATTGAGCTTCGACAAAATGTTGTCCATTTTTTTCATAGGAGATGCATGCCCTTAATTTTGATGTTTTGTACACTGTAACCCCTGTTATAACATTAATTCCACAACGTACAAAGTGAATTGCTATGTATGGACACCCTTTCGATTATTCCAGCCTATGATTATGAGTTTTCTGTGTGATGGTTTTCTAGAGTTAGAAGTATGAGATATTGCAACGCCATCCGCATGGTTACCTGAACACAGTAAATGTTGCATTCATTCTCATTCCTCCACTGTGTCAAATACATGTACAGCATCTATTATAGCCATATGCAGCACGTCTGTACCTCTGTCTACTACAAGAAATTGTCTGTGTATTGTTTAAGCCAGTGAAATCAGTGATATAAGTTCCTTCTGTCTTTTCCCTGCAGGTGAATCTGTAACTGTATGTGAGCCTTTTATACGTATTAAAAGCTGAATTCCAGCACCAGGAATGCTGCATATCTGCTGGCAGTAATATAAATTTTTTTTCTTGTAATAAACTCGAGGAAGCTTTTTATTTCTCTACGTATGTGCTTCGGGTTGTTGTCGTTCATGTTTCAAATCCTTGCTGCAGAGTTGGACCTAGCATTGTAACTGTGTTTATGTTTCGTTCACACATTCATGTGCATGGATAGGAATGGCTGATATTGCTGCTATTTTGTGAAATGGATGCATTCCCCATGTTTTTTCCAGTCATTTGTATTTGCTTCTCTCACACTTCATTGTGAACCTCATCTGCTTTGTATTGCTTCGGGAGAGGAAAGAGTACAAAGAATACAAGGACAAGGATTGCCGTGAGTTGTACCGATGCAAGGTTTTATTCGGGGATGTGTTCGACTCCGATAAATACGCAGTCACCCCTAGCCAAGCATGCCGCACTGGCTTCGCCATGTTCGAAGATAGTGCACACAAAGACCACCGTGATGAGCTCCCAGTCGATGTTGAGAGTAGCGGCTCAAGCGACGAGGCCCGTGTTGCCGCACCGCGATCGTCGGCTAGGGATGAATCTGGCCCACACAGCAGGGACAAACGGAAGGCCGCGGGGAAGCAAGCAAAGGAGAAGAGGAAAAAGTTTTCATCTCGGGACATGTCATATTCTGTGGACTGTACGACCTCCACCAGTGAGAAGATTGCTGCAAAAATTGACCACTTCATTGGAGATGCTGTGTCCGACCCGAAGACATGCATGAGCGAGTTGTTCGCTACGGGTCGACTCCAGAAGCAAACGGATCTATACTTTTACACATGCAAGTTCCTTTCGCAGAGGGCCAATAGAGAGGTACTTGACGTGCAAGACAATGCAAACGACAAGTTTGCTTGGTTGGAGTGGAGCTACCAGGAATATAGGAAAATGCAGCCGCGATGAGATATGTTTCTGTCCATTACGTCCACGTCCGTGGGAAATTTGTAATTTTTCTTACTGTTGTTGACTTTGACATGTACTATGTTTGATGTGAGGACATTTGAATTTTGTTAGTTTCTATGGGAAACAGTTGCCTATGTTTGCTTTTACCAGTTGCAAAATTTTCTCACATGCGTGCTAAAAGTTTGATTCTTGAAGATTACAAGCATATGTGCAGACAAACAAACTTTTGACTATTTTTCACGGTTGGGTCACTCAAGTGTTGCATTAGTTGGTGGACTGGTCACATCAGTCCCATCTGCACCTCAATTATTGGTTGCCATGGCCATAGCAAACGTTCTATAAAAGGCACATAAATGTAGTCGAAGTTTACAACATGCAAAGGCTATAGTGTTGGATATCATATTGTGATTATGTTCAAATGACACATTCGGAATTCACCTGCGAGTTGCATCCAACCTCTGATGTAGAGGACGAACAGGGCGACGAGGCATTCGTGGAAGAATTGCAAGTGGACATTATGAAGTGGTTTCGATACTGTCAAATGAACGAGGTTATTCTCAGAAACTATTATCGCGAACAAAGCACTCGTGTTTCACGATATCCGTTCGCGCGAAATGGTCATATGTTCATGTTGGACGCAATGAACTGTAGTCCTCAACAATGCTACACAAAATTTTGCATGTATCCCGTCATGTTGCGAGCGTTCGCACATATGCTGCGTGACGAGTACGGGCTTCGCAGTCATCAGCACTTAGATATTTATGAACAGGTTGGTATGTTTCTCTGCATTTTAGCACATGGGAAGGGGTACAGACAGGTGCAGACCCTATTCAACCATTCATTGGAAATCGTTGGACACTACTTCAAGCTTGTGCTTCGGGCGGTCCTCGAATTCTCTCAACGAGTAATTCGACCAGATCCAAACTACAATAATTATGCCGAGCATCACGTTCCGAATCTTAACAAGCATCACATTTTTTGAGATTGCGTTGGTGCGATTGACGGAACCCACGTCAAAGCCGTGCTTCCACGGGAGCAACGCGTGAGTTGTATCGAACGAAAAGGAATTTCGACACAGAATGTGCTAGAGGCATGTGATTTCAATTTATGCTTCACATTCATACTTGTAGGTACGACGGGGAACTCCCACGATGCTCGAATCTTGGTGTGGGCAATACATACTCCAGAGCTTGAGTTTTCGCAACCTGCACCTAGGAAGTATTACCTGGTTGACTCGGGATTTGCTCATCGACCTGGGTATATGGCGCCCTATAAGGGCTCAGATGTATTGTACCATTTTCAGTAATTCTATGACGGTGACACTGGGCGCAGACGTAACTTTCGAAATGCCCGCGAAAAATTTAATTTTAGGCACTCGTCATGCAGAAACGTCATCGAACGTGCATTTGGCGTTTAGAAAAGTCATTGGAAAATACTGGATCGTATGCCTAGTTATGCGTTCGACGTGCAAACACATGTTGTAATTGCAACCATGACCATTCATAACTTTCTTCGACGGGCGGGTGTGGTGGACGAAGCATTCCTAAGAGCGGAGACAGACCCCGACACAGCAGAAGTGGAGCTACCAAGTACACGTGACGAATCTTCAGCGGAAATTAATGCACCGGAGTCACGACGAGATGAGTGGGATATGTTCAGAGATTATCTGGCACAACAATAAACACGTGTTTTTCTTTGTCGAAAGTAGACGCGAAATAAATGTTATCATGAGTTAAAAATTATGAAACTAGTCGGTGTTGTTGCATTTCAAATCCGGGTGACAAAACAGTAGTGGACAAAAAATAATGCACTTGTTAATGGGACCCACCATTTTGTATTCTCTCACCAATATTTCCTGCAACAATCCGGTCAAAAGGTGTAGTACTTGTCAGTGCAAAGTTGTTGTGAATGTGGGAAAATGTGTAATTTTGTAAATGGAACTCTTGCATGGGGAACCAGAAAGTCTTCATGTGGGCCACCTGAAAAGACAGGAGAATTGCTACTTACGCAGGTCGATCTAAGGCTGTACGTGTTACCCTTAGTGGACATTTCTCATAAAGAATCTTACAAAGCCTTGCTACATACGCAGACCGATCTAAGGTTGTAAATGCTATTACCCTTAGATAAAATTCTAATTTGGAAATTCTACGAAGCCCAGCAGCATGTGCAGGCCGATCTAGGTTCACATGACTTATGAGTACTATCATATACACTGACTAGAAGACATTCCATCATTAAAAATTCATGAAAGGATGAAATAAGCAATAAAATTTAGACACCACAAAAAAAGAAAACATACATTTTCATAAGCATTCAAAATAGAGTACGGCTCATCTTCGAGCACAAACAAGATATCCATAAAGTTTAACAAATTCATCACAAATCCAAAAAATGTCCTAAGAAGAGCTAGGGAGAGGGAGATCTTCGCGAGGAGCGACACCATCTTCATCAGCGGGAGAAATCCAAACCCCTGCCACTTTCGACAAATGCTGAAGCTCTTCCTTCTGCTCTTCCACAGCCTCCTCAAGGAAACCCACGTCGAAACCTGACCTCTCTCTGTGAATGTGTTTTACTACTTCCTCCAGAGCCACGACGTAAGCATCCTGAGCAAAAGCGTCAAACTCAGAGGATGACCTCCAAGTCTCCACTGCCCTCGCAGCCCTAGATTCAACCTCCTCAGCTCTACGCATCGCCTCTCTTGCTCTCTCATATGCCTCCCGTACCTTTTCCACAATCTCCTCAGTCCGAACTCTCTCTTCCTAAATCCTCTTCTCCTGAACCTCAGCCCTACAATCGGCATCCTCCCTCAGAGATCTCCCCCATCCACTTCTCCTCCATCTCCAGCCTCGAGTTCAGCTCAAACCCTATCGTGTTAAGCTTCTCCTCATATTCTTTTTCTTTTATTGCAAACTAAGCTCTCTCAGCCTCCATGCTATTATACAAATTCAAGGTCTGATCCTTGGCCTCCATCAATTTGTCGAGTTCAGATTTCGCCTACATTAAAATCCATAAGTTAAGCACCTCGCAAATATGTGAATCATCAAATAAAATGAAGTAAGGAAAATACCTTATCAGCTACGGCCGTCATGTAAAGGATAGAGTGATGGGCATGGAGTTGAGCAGTCACTAGAGCCTCACCTATGGGCATCTCATTAAGGAAGCCCTACTCCCTTTCATCGCAACTCCTAGTAAGCAGGTTTGCAAAATCACGCAGAGGTGGGAGAAGTGCAGTAGTAACCTCCCTCAATGGAGATGGAGCTCGCAAGTAATCTAGGAAGATCTCTGGACAGTGGCCTAGCAGACTGTCCAGTGATGGCCTTTGTAAGTTCGGGCACCTCTCTTGCACCCTTGTCGAGCTAGTCGAAGTGGAAGCAAGTGCCACAGGAGGTGGCGAGGTATGAGCTGGAGATGGCAAAGTGATGGCCACCAAAGGAGAAGAGCTCAACGCAGGATCAGCTTCAGGGACCCTTGGTGCGGCCGGCGTACCAATATGGTTCTTCTTCAAGGGGACCTTGTCCTCCACTTCCTCAGAACGACTTTCATCCCGTTCTGGGAGGTCCCTCTTCTTGGCCTTCGCTGCGGCCGCATCTTTCGTCGCCTTGTATCCCAACATTTCTGAATTGTGAGCTGTAAACAAAAAAGTATGTCAGTACTCAACTCTAACAAATATCACCTCAATAAACCAATCAAAACCGACCTGAATTGATTGGAACCGATGTAGATGTTGCAACGGTGGAAGGCCCCGGCACCTTGGTTTGAAACAAGCCGGCCTGGAATCGAGAGCAAAAATTCGCAAGATCTTTGTTTCTTCCGCAATGCACAAATTGCTTTCGCTCGTCTCTGAGTGTCTTTCTTCAGTATAGGCCTCTTGTAATCTGCACAGTAACATGATATCAATTAGAGCCGCTCGGAATACAATCTAGGTCAAAACACCAAGAGGCAGTTACTTACATAACGAGTGATAAAGCGCTGGGACCATGTCGTCCCTATTCACCTCGGCAGAATGAAACTGCCACTCCCCCGACACATAGAACCACTCTTCCTTCATTTCTTAATCGAGGAAGGGGTGTCTAAAACCAGATAACCTCCCGTCCTTGGCCTAACACTTGTGTACCACCAACCCAAGTTCATCCCATCCTCCTTAAAAGTAAATAAAGAGTTGAACTGCTCAATCGTAAACTCAGGGTTACCTAATCTATCCCACAGAATAAGCGTGGCGATCAGAGTCCGACACCCATTTGGGCATAACTGGGTCGGAGCTATGCCCCAAGAAGACAAGAACTTACGGATAACCCTAGGAATAGGTAATCTCGGCCCGGCTTGAAGGATGGCAGAATTCAATGCGACACATTCCATAGGGAGAGTGTCAGCACGGTCAGATGGTTCAGGGATTATCATAATTATCGAACTCGAAATATCATATTTTGCCCTCCAACTAGCTAACATATCACCTGTAACTACCGACCTGTAAGAACTAGCCCCCACTCCAACTGATCGTTCCCTTCACTACCCATAGGGGAACTCACCTCCTCGTCTACCTTATCTCGCCCCATCTCCCCAAGACGGGCCAAAGTAACGGGGTTAGCTACAGAAATAGGAACAGGAGTAAAAATCTCTCTACACCCCGAGGACAAATTAGAAGTAGAAGGTATGGATTCTTCTTGTTGATTTCCCCAGGTAGTGATAGCAAAAAAACTCGCCCCACCCCGAATGGGGCAAAAAAACCCGCCTCGATAGGGGGGCGGGGCAGGGCGTGGCGAGAGGGTGCCCCGGCCCAACCCCGCCCCGTGAATTTTTTATTTTAATTTCAAGTTATATTATTATTAGATAATAAAATAAAAATATAAAATTTTAATTAATTACAAAAGAAATAAAATTTAGTCAAAACGTAATTTTATTTAAAATTGTTTAATTTTTAACATTTTTTATTTCAAATGTTTACTTTGAATTTTAAAATTTTGAATTTATATTTTATTCTCTAATAATAACATAATTTGAAATTAAAAAAAAAATTAAACNAGATTTCTCCTAGGCAAAACAACACAGCATTAGAAAACTTATCAAAGAAGCTATCTAAAAATGCGGTACAGCTCATCCCTACCTAGGTATGACACTGGCATAATAATAATTACTTTTCTTGGAAAAAGAATTCGTGAAGTCAGAAGGTCAGCCCCCCTTACAGAAGAATTGACCTGGAGATAACTGTTGACATCCGAACTCCGATCTAATAAAAATAGTTCGCTAACCCTACCTTAGTTAAATGTGAGTTCGGTCCTTACTCCCAGATCAGATAATCCCGTCGTTATCTCAAAAAACATCATGATTACCCCATGTCACATCACCCAATCAATCAAATACACTTGCCACAGGTGACATCATCACCCGAAACAACCAATCTTAAGTCCTCAACCTCCAGTCCCTTGCAGGTCATCATTACCTGGGGAAAATATTGGCACATGGCCACTGGCCTCATCGACCAATCATAAGAGAATTCGGCGACCCGAGTTCCTAGTTCGGTACTGTTGCTGATTTGATGTAATATCGACTGAAACTATGTATAAATAGTTGAATAGGATTCTTGTAAAGGGCAAGTGATTTCATACAACAACTCAAGGCATAATTACACTCTCTAAACATATTTTGTGGTCTTTTTTCAACAATAAATCGCCCTTTTTTTAAAGGTTGGCTTAAGATTAGCCTTACTGATTTTGACGTCAACAAGTATATTAATTCATAAGAGAGGAATTTTTTCAGTTGTCATTTTTACTGTAAAAATTGTAGGATTTTTGCTATAAATAATATCTAAAAGTAAAATATGGATTCAAGGCTTTGTCCGATTCCCATTTTCTCCAAAATATATTTTTCCCTCTCTTCTTTTTAACCATACATTTTTCAATAAAATAATATTACATGTAAATAAAAAATATTTCATTATTTTTCAACCACACATTTTCCATCAATTTACTATTCTAAAATATATATTTTCATAAAAGTGGGGCTCAAACACCCCCTAAATAAAAAACAATGTATGCGGTGAAATTTCCACTATAATATTAACAGGGGTCCAAGAATTGTTGTGCCTTATGTGTTTCAGGAGGCAAACTCTTTTTAGGATATCAAAGCCTACTTGGTATGGCTTTTAAAAGTCAAAAAGAGCTTTTAATACTCAAAAGTTGCTTTTGAACCCATTTGTCTAATTTTATGAAAATAATTTTAATAATTAGAAGAGTTTTTAGAGGATATTGGTTTAATATAACTTTTTCTAAAAACACTTTCAGAATAGATAGTGTTTTTAAAAGTTAATTTACAAACAATTAAGGAGACTTCCTCCAAAAGCTTTTCTAGAGAAAGTAAAAACATAAGCAAAAGCTATGACAAATGGGTTGTAAGTGCTAGTTTGGAATAGTTTAAAAAGTTGATGTCAAAGTTAATAATTATTATAGTTTTATATATTTCATAAAATTCACTACTTATATTAATTTTTAACTACATATTATCAATTTTTTTCAAATCTACTCAAACTTTTATCAAAATCTATGGAGCAATCCCTATTTTTTTATTTTTACATGGATTTTCAACCAATCTACATTTAAGAAAGCCAAAATAAATGAGATATTTATCTTCCTAGAGTAAACACCAGCAAATTTCTCATAGAATAAAATCAGCTACATTCTTTCGAGTAGGTCTCGCTTTGTCCGGCCCTTAGGAAGCCCTTAGGCCTCAATCCATTCGGCCATCCATTCTACATCACTTCATGTGTACTTGCTTGCACACTTGGACAAACACGTTAGATGCACAAACCATAGATCCAGGGGAAAAAGGGGATGCCATGAGCATATGCACTATGATGTCCAAGTTAAATAAATGGACGATAATGTGGGTACTGGAGAAACATTGAAAAACAAAAGAAGGAAAATACGAAAGTAAACTTTATATTTGAAAGCGAGATTAACATATTACAATTACCATCAATTATCTCAATGTAAGTATGTATAGACAAAAAAGATGTAAACGATGCTTCATCCCAACGACTCCCATGTCAAGCTCAAGAAGTCACATAATAGTAGTCATCATAGGTTTATGACCTCCGATACCGTGTCTGACTGATTAGCAAGGATTTGACTATAAATCACCTTTGTAGAGATATCACATTAGCCAAATTGCGTGTTGTTCAAGGTGTCAAAAATGCAACTTGTACAAAAGCATTAGGAGATTAGACCTCAATCACCTTGGATAAAAAAGGACTACTTGGCCAACGTTTGGTCCTCCCAATCGCCTTGGAATGGCTATGTGACATGTATGCTACGAATTACATTGCCTCAGAGAAGAACACAGTGAGGCGTTGGGTTGTCTCCAACACTTCGTTCAAGAGACTAGGTGAGGCAATGGAACTCCCTCATCATCTCGAACAAGGTATAGGAGAGGTGGAATAACATGCTAGCCACAAAAGTGAAGCTTTGCTAACTAGAAGCATTACTTGCTTTACATATGCTTAGTTGGCACCCACATGGCCTGCCAAGCAGGTAGAGACGTAACAAGAATCGTACATTATTATTGTTAGAGTAATGCTATTTGTAGTCGTTCACTGGGATAGTCGCCTTACGTGGTATACACATGACAGGTGATTATTTGATGCATTAATGTGGTAATTTTTTTATTCATTAATGCATCAAATAACCACCTGTCCTGTGTATGCCATGTAGGACGACTGTCGCAGTGAGCGACTGCAAATAGCATTATTCTTATTTTTATGTATAATGCTTTTCAAGAATTCAATACATAACTCCAGTCATGTTGTTAAATTCATGTTTAGTTCAGCTAATAAGGATAATGAAAATTTATGTCTACTATTAAATATACATTTTACGAGATCCACAACTTTTCAATCATATATTCAATCAATTTTTATCAAAAAATATTAAAAATCTGATTTTAATATAGAGGCTAAATATCTAATTGAATCCCTACTAGCATGTTCCCACATCATACATTTTTTTCTCAATGGAATATAAATACAGGATTTTTAGAGAAATCTACAGTAACTTTCTACAAGCTATACTAGGCCATTAGGACGGTTATTTCCTATATAACAAAAGTCCAATATGAAAAGAACAAAAAACAAAAAGTAAAAATGTAAAAAGTAAAAAGAAAGAAATGATATAACATATACAAGACATCCTTCATCTTCCATATCCCACGAAAATCCCCTCACACAATTACAAAATAGTTACATTGATTTATTTTCATTTTACACTTGATAACTTGTGACATATTGCATGAACTCCGGGTCGGACTCTAGACCCGCCATGGTCTCTGATGCCAAAATCACTTCAAAATCTACACTCCCACCACCTTCGCGACCCGGAAATGCAGAAATCTTCCCATCAAATTTATTAGCTTGCCCACTACGAACAGCGACAGGTCTACCCCACCCAAAATCATTCTCATACATTGGAAATCTTGGAGAACTTCCCATTGTGATCATCGCACCATCGAAATTACCCAAAGGGAAACACCGTGGGTCTCGCTCCCAATCTTCTACATACCTCCTCACTGTGTCCTTATCGTGCGCCAACACGTTCTTATTTAATTGCCCGGCGCACCAGCGCAAATCTTTCGACAACACGTCGCCGGCTGATGCGAGAGTCGGAATGCTCTGTATAGCGTTACCGAAGTAAAGTGGCTCAAGCTTCGGCTCCAGCCGGTGGCGGCAATTCACAGCCATGCGAAACGTCGTGGTTTTAGAAGGTCGTAATTTCCTTGCTCGTGTAATTCCGCGCCATAATAAAGCACATAATGATTGAAAGGATGAAATCTCAGCAGTTGGATTTGCATTTCTTGTCTCCTTCGAGGCAACATTTTTTAGCCATGTTAACGGCGTTAACTTTTCGTCTGGGAATTTGAATGTGTCGTTGCTATGCTTCCCCATTAGTTCAGTGACGTCGATCTCGCCGTTAAGTTCCCATCTATGGTTATTAACTTTGGCTTTCAGCTTCAGAATTGATTCTCTGCTGAAACTGAAAATTCTTTCTCTCAATGGAGCTTCAATGGAGAAAGTAACCATTCGTCCGCTGGCCGGGATTTT